GAGTACACGACGCAGCAGGGATCTGCGAAAGCCGCCGTAGCCCCGGGCCCTGCTGACCCTCGGTCTTGTGACTTATTTAACTTCTTTCTCTCGTGGCCACCTCTAACCCAGAAACGTACAGGGACAGGAATCTGGAAGTGCAGCTCCAGCCTGGCTGTGGATAGAACCCAGAGCTTCACAGGGTCCTCACAGAAGACTCGGAATTGCCATTTAAAATAATCCTTGTAATACAGAAGGTAGCAAAGTTGGTTAGACAAGTGGACTTCCGATTTTGCCTTCTCCCTATTAGCTGGGGCCTGTGTGGGTCACTGTTTCAGTCCTGCATTGCTGCACGTCAGAGCACCCCAAACTCACTTCACTGCATCGCAACCTGCTGCAAACCAGCTGGGCACCAGCCAGGGGGCTTTACTGCTACCTTTGCCCTGGGCTTTTCCAGGTAGTTGCACTGAGATGGTGGCCTTCACTGGGCTGCACGTGTGACATCTGCTGGGCACAAAGGAGGGCAGTTGGGGTCAGTCAGTAAGAGCAGGGGCTGCTGGGTTGTGGTACAAGGACTGGCGGCCCAGGTGGTCACAGGTGGCCCTGAGTGAAATGTACAGTGACCTGCAAATCACCCAGGAAAATGACATTCCTAATCTTTCTCCCTTACTAAGACACTGTCCTACAGTCCTGTGCCCTGTCACCTAGGGTCATCTGTCTATTCACAGGAGTTCTGTCTCCTCAGGGTAAGGGGCAGGATAAGGCTCATCTCAGCACTCACCATGCCCAGTGCCTGTGTGTGTGTGTGTGTGATGTGTGACAAAGACTATACATATATTATTTCTGGTGCTATAACAAACAACCGGAGGCTGGTAATTTACAATGAGTAGAAGTGTATTTGGCTCACAGCTGTGGAGGATGGGAGGTCAAAGAGCGTGACTCAGCATCTGCTGGACATTGGTGAGGTCCTTCTGCTGCAGTGTAACAGCAAAAGCCATCACATGATGAGTCAGAGCCAGCATCCAGCTGGGGTCTCTGCTCCTCTCCTTGTAAACCCCCTAATGCCATGGCAGGGCCTGGAGCCCACAGCCCCATCCATTCCTAATTCCCTCCCAAGGTCACCACCTCCAACAACTTTAGGGGTTAAGTTTCCAACACATAGGTTTTTGAGGAAAACCCTAAAATCACAGCACTTGAGTTCTGTTTCTCTGGGGAAAGCAGACTAACATAGACAGTAATGAAACAGCACCAGCAAAGTCTCCTGGGCTGTGTTCCGACTCTCTCCGTGAGGACAGGAGCCCCTGACGCTGAGAGCCTGAGAGGCCAGACACATCGTGCTCTGTAGGTCCACACTGCCGTCCTGGGTGCACAGAAGGGGCAGCTGCAGTGGAGTCGGGGACCCAGCAGGAGCTGGGCTGCTTAGCATCGCTGTGGTCATGGATGGGGATTCCTGTCCCCGGGCACAGGAGGGCCCTCATTCACATTTGTGACCCTGGGAGCCCTGGGCTTCGCTCTGCCCACCCTAAGTGACCATCTGAAAGCACAGATTTATGGGGGAAAGAGAGTGAAGCTGATGTTCAGCAGGAACTAAGGTGTGAGTTACAAGACAGTGGGTGTCAACAAGGTGACATTGGAGTGGAGGGAAACAAGTCCCTAAGGTTGGTCCCTCATGGCAGGGCTGGGCTTGGGACAGGGGAACAGGACTGGGAGGTGCACAGATGGTCGCCAGCAGTGTGAGTCCAGGCAAGTCTCCCTCCGAGTCTCTGGAGTGGAGAAGCAGCGATCTCGCTGAGGCCTCGCAGCCCTGCGCCTCTGGCCACCGCCAGGGCCTGCAGAACCAACAGGTCTCGGATCCAGGTTGGCCCCTTTAATTCTAACTAGGTAGGGCAGGAGATCTCAGCCCCCCCTTAGGACTTGGAGACCTATGGTAGGGCCCCCTGAAGTGGGGTTGTCCTGCTCACCCGGTGTAGTAGATCCAGGCGAGGCCTAGGTGAGGAGGAAGCCTGCTCCCACGAGGATCCCTCTGATCAGGGTGAGGACCAGGGGCCAGGAGCACTAAACTTTCTAGAACTAAAATCAGCAGAGCTTTACTTCCAATTGTAATTTTTCAGTGATCCACTCACTCATTTTCCCCTCAACAGCAACTCAGCCAACTTCCGCCTGATAAAATTCACACAGCTGGGCATGGTGGTGCATGCCTCTAATTGCAGCAGTTGGGAGGCTGAGACAGGAGGATCACCATGATCAAGGCCAGCCTGGGCTACATAGTGAGGCTCTGTTTCAAAAAAATTTCACACAAGAATCTCACTTTCCTGGAGATCATGTCCTTTGAGGAATGTGGAGGAGTTGTGAAAGGTAGAG